GTTCCTTGGACGACGAGTTACCACGACACCTCTTTTTGCTTCACTATTTCGAAACCAGGGCCTGTGGTGATAGTTCTCTCCCAGCTTGACGACCGATACTTCAGAGGCTTGCAGGGCCAGTATCATTTCCAGCTTGCTTTTCGTCTACATAAGACAGGCCATGAGGAATATATTGTCCGCAGCCAAAGTCAATATCGCATGCGGCGATCAGTCAATGTTGAAGTCGAACTTGAGCAAGGAAGTTATCAAGTGAGGTTGAAGATCATCGCAAGTCGTCGCGAACAAGTACTTCCTCTTGATCAAGTCATTCGGAACAATGCTAAAAAGAGGCGGGACAAACTTATTCGCGTCGGTCTGGCCTATGATCTCGCACATGGAAAAGGCAAATTCGTGGAATTGCCGGAAGAAAAGGCGGCCAAGGAATCGAGAGACAGGACAATTAGACAGGCTAAAAGAGAGGAGGTAAAGCGCAGGATCTTATGCGCCCGAGAACAGTCACATTATATGCGACGAAAACAGCTACGCCGAGAGAAGAGGAGGGCGAAAAACAAGGGCAGGATCCAGTCCAGGTTTGAAAAGCGGGACAACCGAACAGCTTCTAATTCTGACCTGAAGGTAGCACAAGGAATGGGAAAGGTCTCTCCTGCCGATGAAGCCTCAAAAGACTCCCGACAAGTCAGCCGAAAGGAAGAGCCAGCTAGCTCTGAAGATTCGGAGTCTCTGTCAGATCTGTCTGGGCGGGAACTGGATTTGGAGATTGATGCCCACCTCAAAGAGAGCAGGGAGCCCGCAAAAGAAGGATGCCCTCCCGGGGCTGATCAGGAGGAACTGGATGAGTTTGAAAAAGATCCGTGGAATGCGGTTGCAGTCATCGGCCTCCGAGTATACTACAAGATATCAGATACCGACGAGAATCCCCAAGTCGTGAAATTGAAGGTAGTTCGGCCACAGCTTCTCGAGGGTGTGAGCAAGGACGAGATGGAGGAATGCCAGAAAAGTCAGGGCCTGGACATAGACGACAGCTCGAAAGATGCCACGTTGGAAGGGGGTATAGCGGCAAGGAAGAAAAGCATCATTGGTGAAGAAGTGCGAAGTGTTCATAAGGACAAAGGGCAGCCTTGACAGAAAGCATGGTTCTTGAGGGCAATCAACTGTGCTTGCGTCATGAAGGATTTTATACCCTAAGATAATATATTACTTCTCTCCTTAGGTACTGTATGATGGCCTACTCCTACCCAATCCTAGACCTACCTTTTGTTTCCAACTCAAGTCAGACCTTGGACAAGTAGCAAAGTGTACCTGTCTTCTAGTTGCGGATAGGCAACACTAGGAAGAGTGTCCAGCCATCGTCCTATTACGTATTAGGTATCTCTACTGGCTGACCTACCTGACTCTCCTCATTGACCTGTGTTTTTGGGCTAACCCAGGCAGACCGTACTCCTGACTTGCCTCCTGACTTGCCCCCTAACTTACCTGTCTACCTACCCTTTGGCAATCAGACAGGAACTCTCTTCTCCCGATCTTGGCCCGCGGCGCCTCGCTGTGCGGCAGGCTCCCCTACGGCAGGCAACAACTTCTTCTTACAACACACACGAGACTTACCTCAACATCTCATCATCTACTTCAACAGTTTCATCTCTCAAATGAACTCGTGACTGATTCTTGGTCGCTCGCACTCTCCTCTTTTACACCATTGTCAACTGCGTCATCCACGTTTGCCACCCCCTGCTCTCCAACACTTCTTCCCGCCAGCCTGCACCGGAGCAAAGGGGAGGGAGGGAAGCCACAGCTTGGATTGTTGCACAACCCAAAAGCCTGCATCGCGTCCCCCCCTTTGCGTCCCTTGCCTGCCCCCCCTCACCGACTTCTCTCGTTTCTCTCTTTCCCCCATTGATATCTGCTGTGCCGTTCTTTGTTTTTACCAATCATTGAGCGACATCATTTCCCACCCTTCACCAGCAAGCGTTCTCAGCGAGGACGCCGCTGTCGGGTTTGTTGGCACAGTAGATTGCGCAGGCACCCGATGCCTTGCCTTGCGCCCAGCACGATTAATATGTCGTCCTCTCGCGAGAGATTGTGAGGTCGCCCCTAGGCGATTTCCAAGCTCACCAACACTATAACACACTCAAGAGTACTGCTGGGTATATCCATCGCCGGTGCCTGAACTTGTTCCAGGTCGTTAAGAGTCACGTGATAAATACCTTTCGTCCGCGTCGTGAAAGGAAGTCATGGGTGTGATCCAAAGTCATATCGATAAATGTCGTGTCAAGTCGACCATATCTGATGGGCGGGGCAAGCAAAAAGGGGGAAAAGGGGGGCCATGACTGTGACGGCATCTCGTCACACGCGTGTGAGCCGGCCCAAACCATGGCCTCCATTCCCCTTTGAACTGCTCGCCGTCAAGGTCCCCAGATGAGCAAAAGCCAACGCTCGCTGGGACTTGATTCCGGTAAACCCGATCGATAAGAGATGACTGAAGCGAAAAAAATAGAGGTGTGATAAAAATGAGACCGATTGCGCCGTTGTTAAGAAAATCCAGGATCATCAAGAAAACGTTAACGAGCCGTGCAGACAAAGGAGAGCCAATGAAGAAAAAAAGAAAGAGGCTCTCCCGATAAGGAAATCATTTCGTAGTGGTGCAAAGAAGCCAGTGTCATATAGTCACATGGAAAAAGATGCAAAGTGAGGAAGCACCAATGCAGGCAAGAAAGAAAGTGGTGCAAGTGAAGTGATCTCCCGCCTAGTCGAGGAGGGTCAAATACTCGCACGAATGGAGCTCCCGCCGTAATGGATCATGCCTGTAGTGAGCCAAGGAGGGTTGCGGGCGCTCATTGACTGTCGCTTAGGCGACAGGAGCGATAGGAGCCACGGGAGCTGCGACGTTGTTGATGTCAACTTCGGTGTTGATCTCGCCGCTGGCAGCCTTCTGCGGGCAGTCACGGGAGATGTGACCAGCCTCACCACACTGGTAGCAAGTCTTTCCAGCGGTGTTCAGGGGGCCACCGTTGGGAGCGGTGCAGTCGCGAGAAATGTGGCCGAGCTTGCCACACGCGTAGCACTTCATGGCTTGAGCCTGGCAATCGCGGGCAAAGTGGTTAGGACCACCGCACTTGTAGCAAGTGGCAGGGCGAGGACCGCCGGCGAAACCACCACGGCCGCCATAGGCACCAGGGTAGCCACCGCCGCGAGGGATGGGAGCACCTCGGCCCAGAGCACCGGGACCAACGGGGTTGGGGCAGGCGCGCTAGGAGGATACGTCAGTTCAAGCTCAGATGCTGTGCTGTTTGGGTTCGTCTTCTTACAGCCAAGTGGCCGGGCTGGCCGCAGTTATAGCAACGACCACTGGCGCCAGTTCCACTGAGTCTCAGAGTTGGGCAGTCAGCCTGGACGTGGCCAAGACCCTGGCAGTGGTAGCACTGCTTGGCCTCGGTGGTGCGGGGAAGAGGGCAGCCGTTGGATTCGTGGCCTAAAGGATAAGAGTCAGACAAGAACATTTTGTGCGAGAAGGGTCTGATTCAACGTACCAGGCTGCTTGCCTACGAGAAGAAGAGTTAGCAAGTGACTTTCCATCGCACTGAGAGGATGATATACATACAGTTGTAGCAAAGACGCTCAGCAGAAGAACAGACCTCGGCGTAGTGGCCAACGTTGCCACACTTGTAGCAAGCTCGGCGAGAGAGGGAAGACATTTTGGTGGTAGAAAAATATGTTTTAAATGGAATCGAACCTGCAGTACGCAAAAACTTGTTAGTGAAACCGGACATTGATTGATGATTGGTTATGCATGGGTGCACAGAGCCCAAGAGATCAAGGCCATCCTGTTTGCGCCGCCTGTCGTGATAGAATCGGGTTGCCGGCATTCAGAGTCCCGGTAAATTAAGCCACACCACGGGTGGTTGCGTGATTCCTAGTATTTCTGACCGTCCGGATCGAAGGGGTTGCTGCGTCATTACAGACAAAACCGTTGTTGCAGGGAGCCCAAAAGACACATTCTCCAACCCTATAGACACGTCGCTGGCAAAGCAGCGTCGCGCAGGTAGTATCAAGATATGGCGGCATAAAGCCAATCTTGTCAATGACAAGCAACATCATGAGCTACCCGATTGCGCGCCTCCATATTGTTTGCGACAAAGTGTCGCTATTCGGATGGGCTGGCGCGCAGTCCTCGTCGGTGGGAGGAGGGGCAAGCAGGGCCGAGAGAGAGGAGATGTGCGATTATGTCGGGGTATTACAAGCAGGCGACAAACGACGATTCGAAGATTGGTTCCGGATTATGCGCATGGAGAGGGACCTGTGGAGTGAAGTAGGTAATCGGATGCGCCGCATCGAGGTCACACAGCTGGATGGCAGCGTCGCACAAGGCGGATACTACCCATATCCTCGGTACCTGGGTTTGGCTGGGTGAGGTGCGCGCGGCAGGTCACAACGGCAATTGTCGAGGGTCCAGGTGCAATGCGGAGGCAGAGCTGAAGCAACGTGTTTGCGGCGGCGGCGCGACAGGCAGGACAGTGCTCGGGGAGGGCAGGGCGGGCAAAACAAGCGCTCGCAAGTCATCGTGGTTGGTACGCACCTAGGTAAGGTATTTCCTCGTTGCGCAAGACGGTACAACGGCGTGTTAGACACTTGGTCGGAGAGCAATGGTGGCACCAAATGGTCCGGCGGATGGAGCGAGTTTTCGGTGGATAGGGAATTCGCGATGATGGATAGACAGCAGAAAGAGGGAGAAAATTTTTACTGAGGAGAAATATTTATTGGGAGGGAGGAGGGGTGGAGGAGGAGCACAGCGAGAGAGTCGGCGGGAGCGGGTGGAGTGGAGTTGCAACTAACAGCGACTGGAACCTACGAGGGGGATTGGGCTGGCCGGAATGCCTCGAGCATACCTACTTTGGTCCCTAGCAGCTCGGACGAGTCGCCTCTGGACTGAGGCGATACGACTAGTCAGGTAGTCTGTAATTAACATGTGTAGCTGGATGGAGAACTGATGGATGCCCATATGCACCTCAGGTAGGGGTACCAGCGCCCACCACCTGCACCACCACCTTGGCCAGACGACGTGCTATTTTAATTACCCTGCGCACAAGCGACTCCTAGCGCACGCTGCTGGCGGTTGGTGGCAACCTGAGTGGTCATGCCGTGTGCTGGGCTGCCATTGGCATTCGCGACGGGATGGAGGGGACTCGGCGCATCACCCTGCATGCCTTGCGCATATTGGCCTGTGCGATAATGCAGAGACCGACCCAACTGTCGCACGCTGATGTGCCTGACGGCCCTCGCTTGCAGGTTGCGCTCTTTACGCCCATTGCCTGGCTGGAGTTCGCGAATCGAGCAGACGACAAGTGCCGGCAGCGAGGGGTCGCAGCCACCGAGGCCAATGCCAGACATCATCACATATCTCGCTCTTAGGGCCTGGCCTTAGGTTACTGCAGAGGGAGCAGCCAATAGGTCAGTGCGCTAGCCACCAACCTGGAGGGGAAGTGGTACCTGGCCACCCTGCGTCTGCTCCACGCAGCGTCACATCTGTACTTTGCGGTACCTGGCTCGCGCTGCTGCTGGCGTGCTCTGCCACCGGCTCAGCGGGGTCCACGTGTACAGTCCATGTCGCTCGCCTGCTTGTTCTGGACTAGACGCTGTGCGACAAGTACCCCACTACCGGAGCCATGCCCTGAAGGGGCCCTGAAGAGGCGCCGCTCTCATGCAGGTAGCGTTAATTTGCTTGTGGGGACTCCACGAATGTCCGTTCAATGCATTTGCCTCTCACCACACGCACCTGCAGGATGCAAGCCCCAACAACCTGGTGGGAGCACTGCATGAGATGGACAAAGCAGACGTTGCCTGGTTGCCCCTTTGGTCAGCCTGACTAGCCCTGCGCAGCCACTTTCGGTCTATCATGCACCGTGGACCTGGCTAAGCTGGCCTTATAGCACATCCTGCCCGACGCCAAGCAATGGGCTTGCCAGACTCTACTCCCTCCCTCTTCATCCATCTATTCACCCAGAAGCGTAAGCAGTCGATACGAACTCTCTGGACAGACGTAGAGTTACATCGGGCGCTGGTCTGCTTATTCATTGCCTCGGCAAGTAGACTACAAGAACTCCTCACCAATTGGCAGAAGAGGATGACATGTTAATCGACAGCATGTTAATTGACAATACGCTACATATGGCATTATATTATCCAAATGAAATTGACGCTTTTCCCCAAATGCGATATCCGTGATTCTCATAGCTGAGCCGAAATCAAGGGCTTGGATGACGATCCGCCCTCCTGCCAAACGCCTTGCGTGGCCCATAAATACATAATGATAGGAAAGTGAAAATGAATGTGTCTATCGGTGCCGGAGTCTTGCTTCATCCTACCAGGCCGCTCTGTTGTGGCTAATTCTATCAACTTCAGAGGGATGAGGTGGCATTGATTCTGTGGATGATGGTGCAACCGATCGAGGAACAGCCTCGACCACATATGATACACCATCGTCTGAAGCATAAGACGGCGGCCGAGGACCAGCTCTCGCCGCCGTCGGTTCTGGCATGCTTGGAACCGTCTCCTCGTTGCGCTTCCAATATAACCGGTCAGGGTCAGCTCGCTACGAAAGTATTTGTTAGTCGATCCCTCTTCCATAGGCCAGATTGATCATGAATAGGACTTACCACACTCTCCCGCCACATGCCATATGCGGGTGGAGTGACTTTCTTCTTGTCCTTGACAGCGCCCACCGCCTCCTCGTCGCTGGCCAATCGAACTTGTATCGGCTCCTCGGGAATTTTGTATACGCCAGGTGTCCAGGGTTCCGGTCGGGTTGTCTCCCGCACCCGCTCGCGATCTCGTCGTAGAACCAAGACGCACAGGCGGACCAGACCATAACAGAATATCAGTGTGCCCAAGACAATGATGACGATGAGAACAATTGTGAAGTCTCCCATTTGGATGTTCTTTGTCAACGATAGAGCGAGATCTAACACGCGAAACCCAACAATTAGTATTCGAGACCGAATCATTACCACGAAGGAAGCACTTACAAACTGATAGAAGAGAGACCAAGAATAAACCGGTGACAAAGCATCGTAGGATTTGGGCACGCATCTCCCGCGACTTGACCCAGGGGAAGCAACCGAGAAACCTCTTCGGCTGCTTCTTCGATCGCTTCCGACTCCCACGATGATGGCCTCTCTTCTTGTGTTTATGCCGGCGGCGACCGTGCCGACGCTCATGTCTTGGCCGTGAGGAGGATGTGTCCTGACTGGTGGACACATCCTCCATGCTGGAGTAGAAACTCGACGGTGCCCGGATGGTTGACCGCGCATGTGTGGCTAGCTGTGGCGGGGAAAGACCCCCGGCTTGGTGGTCTGTATTAAACGTCGGAAGAGCAGACGGCCACTCGGAGTGCGATGGCGCTGGAGATCCTGGCCCGTTGGCGCCGCTGGCCCAGAAGCGGCTGAACCTGGGGAGGGTGAACCGATGGCCAGCTGCCTGCTGAACGACGACTGGCGATTTGGGCTCCTCGACAACCTCGACCTCAGGCATTTGCTGCCGCTGCTGCCTGCGCTCGTTCATGCGGGTGAACAGGCCTGCCAGGCCTCCGCGAGCTCGCTCCTCTTCCTCGCCCAGTTCTTCGGGAGAGTTCCCATGCGGTAGACCCTGCTCCAGGTCAAAACCTCTCTCCATTCGTGCGCGCCGAATTAGATCCTCCCGGATTCTCTCCAGGTTGCCGTCCGCAGTCATGATTGGTGATGTGGCTCTCATCTTATATGCTCATTCCCGTAACTGTAGATAGTACATAACAATACAAGGGGAGGAAAGAAGGGATGTGGTAAATAACGAAAAGAAGGGATAGAGAGACCAGCTCTGTATTTGATGCAAGTGAATGAATCGATGATCCAGTTAGAGGAGAAGCACGGCTTCTTTTAGGCCCAAGCAGACGATGCTTGAAAGAAAGCACAGTACTGTCCTCACGCAAGTGCGGGAAGAAGGGATAGAAATGTTTTCCAGAAACAAAGATGGAATAGGAACTAGGACAAAACAGACTGAACAAAAACAAGTTTGGTGGAAGAAGAGACTGCGGAACAAGGGCAAGATCTGCTTCGCTCCAGGCAAGCAACAGTTGGACAAAACGAGTGTGGGAAGAGAGAGTGGAAGAAGCTGTTGGTGCTGCAGATCAAACTCGCGCTACGGCGCCAAGTGCAAACACAGGCCACTCGAATGGAGTCTACGAGCTGTCCATGAACCCGATGGGACGCATGGTGTTCTTCAGAGAACCGGCAGTATGAGCACATGCTGTGCGCAGTGTGCTGTAATTGCATGCCAGTCGTCGCGGTGCATGGATCGAATCGCAGGAAAACAGGGGTCACCTGCGACAGTAGCCTGGATTCAGGAGACGAACAGTGCGTCCCGCCCCCATTCTGTGGGCTGCAGGAGCGCCAATCCTGTGAGGAGTGCAGGGATCTACGGTTTCACGTTGGCTATCATCTTGGTGTTTTAGTGGCTCAGGGCGGCAGATAGGCGCGCAGACCTGGAAGTCTGAAAATGAACAAGGACCAGACATGATCAGGCACGGCGACACAGACAATACGACGTCAAAGGAGCGATATTACTTGTTGATTGATGGGCGACGGGTGTCGCAGCGTGTCAGAGCCTGGCAGAGATCGTTGGACAGACCGGACGATTCAGGGTCGCATCGGGGCGCGGCCTGCCCGTCTTCAGGGCGCCTAAACACTCTTCTAAGCTGGACCTGTCCCTTCATCTGATACATGTTGGTTCTCAAACTTCTACAAGGGGCTATTGCCCGCTCAATAATTGGCCAAGGGCTCGCCAACTCCGGTGCCCCCACCAAGTCGCTCCGTACGTCTGCTCAGGGCTGAATGCAATTATTCCAGCCCAGAGATCAGCCACTCCCCACCACAAGGTATAACAAGAATCAAGATACGATACGGAGAACAGGTACCATGCCTCGCTTATTTCCAACCTTGAAGCCGTTTCATACACAGCTATCATAATCTCATAGACCCCGGTCCATGGCCGAGGAATGATGCTTGGCCTGCGATTAACATCGTGGTTGGCTGTGACAACTTCACTTGAGCTCGCCTAGCAACATAGTCCGATCGGATGAAGCAGATAGTACTAAAGCGGAAAAAAAAGATGTTAGCATTCTGAAACAAGAGGTAGATCTGAGGTCGACTTACGGATCGGATCTTGGCCAGGCGAGAATTCGGCGCAGTTTACTGTGCCCTTATGACCAGGGAGTTTATACAGAAGCTTGCCGCTTGCGCTGGACCATACCATGACGGTGCCATCGCCCGACGCAGCAGCAATCTTCTTTCCATCAGAATCCCAGCTGGCTCCGAGGAGGTTGTTTTCAATACCCTTGGTTGCACCATCAAAGGTTCGAATTTGTCGTTGAGCTGGGGCGAACGGCCGAATGTCCCACGTCCGCACTGTCGAGTCCATGGAATACGACAGCAAGGACTGCGAATCTGGAGAAACGCGCAGTGAGGTGACAGTATCGGAATGGCCTGGCATCGAGTATATAACGGCCTTCTTCCTTAAATCCCAGACTCGAATGTCATTGTCAATACCACCCGTGTATATCTCGTTTCCTGCTTGCGATAAAGCCAATGCCGTTATCGGGAAGTCGGTCTCAATGTAATCCGCAGCATTCTTCGTCCTCGGATCCCAAATACCAATGGTCGAGTCGTCGCTACCGCTGACAAGAAGTTCTTCACCACGTCGACTGATATCCACGGCATTGATCACCTCTTCGTGTCCGATGTATCGCCTGATTCTCGTACCTGACGTCAAGTCCCAGCTTGCGAGGTGCATATCGGCGGATGCTGTGTACAAAATCTCCGAGTCGCGAGACCACTGGAGGTCGAGGATTGCGCCTTTGTGTCCGTTTAACACGCCGTAGTTTTCGCAGTCGCCGTATGTCCTCCAGAGTACTAGAACAGTTAGCGATCCCGTCTTCACAAGCATGGTAGAGAGTAGGGGCCCATACAAACACTCCTGTCCATGGAGCCGGAAGCAATCAAGTTGCCCGTGAGGTCAAACTTGGCTGTGAAAATCTCTCCAGAGTGTCCCGACAACTCCATTACAGGAGCTTGAAGGGCGCTTGTTCGGGGAGCCTGGACATCAATCAGCAATCTATGGAAGCCAAGCAGTCGATACTCAACTTACTCCTCCCTGTACAAGTGCGTTGCTAGACGCATTCAATCGAGCAAGCGCGCCGGTCGAATTGCTCACGTTTTGTCGCTTCACGAGCGTCTGGCTCGCGCCAGGATCATCGTCGGCGGGTCTCTTTTCGGCGGACATGTTTGTAGTGGTGGTAATGATTGAAGCAAAATAGTTAGCCGCTTTCAATATGTAGCTTCGGGGTTTGATGGGAACAGCTTTCTATCTTTTTTGTTGCGTTGTAATTTCTTCGCTCAATTCGAGATGCAAGCTTAACCCGACCATCGCAACGCGAGGACGAGATTTGTTGGAGTATGGGGGTATAGCTAGGGCGCTGGGGCTTTTGATTGGCTGCCCTGTGCCAGCACCACAGATAGGTCCCTATCATCATCGGCCAAATTGGGGAGGCGGTATGGCATAGCGTTTACGACACCAACCAAGCACATGTCCAACGAATCGAAGCGATCTCCTCATACTCCAAATCCTGCGATCCCTACGAAAAGAACCTGCGATCCTATTGAGCCGACTCTTCTCTAGATTTCCATTGTTGTGCTGAGCCGAACGCACCACCACATACCAACCCCGCCACAATGGCTGCCAACAAGGCGTCAAGAATAGGCGAGGAGTAGGTCAACCAACTTCTTCCAATATTATTTACTGTGCTAACCGTATGCTCCAGAATATGGAAGTGAGGCTCCCCCATATACGGCCCCCCGATGGAGAAGAAGCTGACCATTCTGCCTTCAGGACACGCATCGACAAGGTCAATGCCGAGCTTGTGACCCTCACGTACGGCACGATCGTGGTTCAGCTCTGTAAAGACTTTGACAACGACTACATCGAGGTGAATAAGCAGCTCGACAAGATGGGATACAATATCGGTTTACGCCTTATCGAAGACTATCTGGCCAAATCAAACACGATGAAGAGGTGCTCCAACTTCCGCGAGACTGCCGAGATGATTGCAAAAGTATTTTGCCCTTTCTATCCTCATTTCTTATGCCGAGAGAAAATGCATGGTTTCTAACGCAAACGGAACTTCCAGGTTGGATTCAAAATATTCTTGAACATTACTCCACAAGTGACCAATTGGACCAGTGAAAATAACCAGTTCTCCCTCGTATTCGACGAAAATCCCTTGGCCGATTTCGTGGAGCTCCCCGACGATGGTAGAGCGCAAGACGAGCTTTGGTTCTCAAATATCCTGTGCGGTGTGTTAAGAGGTGCTTTGGAGATGGTACAGATGCAAGTTGAGGCGCATTTCATCAGCGATATACTACGAGGCAATGATACGACAGAAATGAGGGTGTCCTTGGTACGGTATCTTGACGACGAACTACCGCCTGAGGATGACTGAACAATATTTCGAAATGTCAATATCAACTGGGTTGTGCTTGGCATCCAGAAAGCCGGAGTATATGCACTGTAGCGGCGGTATTCTGCAAACTTCTTACAGTGTAAATTAGATGCCCGTGGTCGGTTTGTGCGCTCTTCTTGCAGGTCCAAGATCATAGCCCACAAATAAGATGCGATCGGGTTAGTAGCTGCAAGATAGGCACTGCACGCCAAATCGCCAACTATATACAGAGGAGTAGACACTGTATTCGAGGCGAGTGTTAGTTATTCCAGCTGATGTGCGGATGAAGTGTAAGACATTGGTGGTGGTCTCCTATATTTGGGCCACCAGGCTAGAATCAAAGACGAATTTCGCAAGTCTATATACGACCTTGAATTGCTTTGAACGTGTGAAGCCTAACCAGGTACCTACCCCATTGTGAGAGGCAGAGTACCCAACAAGAGGTATTGTGTCTGCAAGAACCCAATGAACAACTGCCTCACAGGTAGCCCCAGAGATCGAAGCAACTCCCTGGTCCTACGATGATGCAATTGCACATAATTTTCACCTAAATAAGTGATGGTAGATCCGTGGAAGCTCCAATACCCGCCTACCAGATTATCCACCTACCTTGTTTATCCAAACAGCATATCAATTATCGAGTACGCTTAATTTAGCAGTATCTATCAAACTACTAGTGCGTGGGGTGCACTTAGAAGATCGCCAACATCGAAAGGGTCTCGCGCCAAATGAAATCAAAAATTCATGCCTTGATTAGCTTGTGCCATCAGCTTCCACTGACACTCATCGACCTAGGTAGGCAATATGCCCCTTTCAAAGGTCAGTGCTATTATCTAATGGTGGTTGGGTATCTTCTCAGCAAGTTGGTGTTTGCTCTGTTTGTGCCTAAGGCAGAAGGCCCAATCAGGCGATAGCGGGCTCAAAAGTACGCAGCCATGCTGAGGCTTACGCAGCCTGTCGGCGAGGCAGATCACCCACCTCGAAAAAAAGGTGTAGCAGGTTCGATACAGGGGGCCGTTACCTTGAAAAGTTGGGCATAAAAAGAACAGCCGGACAATCATCCCTCCATCAAACGCGGAGCATAAAAAAATAATAAATTGCGTGTCAGATCAAGCCAGGCCGGGAGATGCCATTTGCAGTGATCCGAATGAGCCCAGTAACGTAGAGAGAAATAGGAGAAAAAGAGGTCGTCTTTTATACA